TTCATTGTCCTGGGTAAGACACCCCCTCCCTATATCTGTCACCTCCTGCAGCCCACTACACCCCCTCCCTATCTCTGTCACCCCCTCCAGCCCCCTACGCCCCCTCCCTATCTGTCACCCTCTCCAGCCCCCTACACCCCCTCCCTATCTCTGCCACCTCCTCCAGCTCCCTACACCCCCTCCCTATCTCTGTCACCTCCTCCAGCCCCCATAACTCTCCCTACTCCACAGTGGTGGGGGGGTGGCGGTTGGCGGTGGGGGTGCGGGTTGGTGGTGGAGAGGAGCGTGTGTGACCACCTTCTCTGAGTTTGCTCAGTGTGGTGCTGGTCGGGGAATTGGCAAAGGGGCCTGCTGGTATCCCTTGCTGCTGTGCAGAGAGTGTGGCACCTGCGGGTGGGGGGCATTGGCGAGGGAGTGCCAGACGCAGGAGTGACAGCAGCTAACGCTCTCTCTCCTTTCTCTTCGTCCAGTGCAGAACATTCAGAACATGCCCGAGTACTTCGCCGAGAGGCTGTACGACTCCATGAAGGTACTGTTGCCAGGGGAAGCTGGTGGACTTTAGATATGGGGCTGTCAGTATCAGTGACTCTTCTCTCTGGTTTCCGAGCGTTTCCCCCTCTCCCTTCCCCACCACCTCAGCTGGACGGCCCAAGGGTCACTCTCAGGATCAAGGAGTAGGGGGTGAGTGATGCTGCCCAGTTCTGAGTGAGAGACAGAACCGTTTCTTCAATCAGACAGCGGTGAATCTCAGCAATTCACGGACTGAGAGAGAGAGAGAGACAAAGAGAGAAGTACAGGCGACATTGCTGGGCAGCTACACAGCACGGACCAATAAGGATTGTGGTGGCAGACGGTGGATAGAACTCAATTTGTACCTAACCCCACATTGTTCCTGTTCTGGAAGCGTTTGATAGGGGACAGTGTAGAGAAAGTTTTACTGTGTATGTAAACCTATGCTGTCCCTATCCCTGGGAGTGTTTGATGGAGTACAGTGTAGAGGGAGCTTTACTCTGTATCTAACCCTGTGCTCTCCCTGTCCTGGGAATGTTTGATGAGGGGGGACAGTGCAGTGGGAGCTTTACTCTGTATCTAACCCCGTGCTGTCCCTGTCCTGGGGAGTGTTTGATGGGGGACAGTGCAGAGGGAGCTTTACTCTGTATCTAACCCCGTGCTGTCTCAGTTCTGGGAGTGTTTGATGGGGGGACAGTGCAGAGGGAGCTTTACTCTGTATCTAACTCCATGCTGCCCCTGCTCTGGGAGTGTTTAATTGGGGGGACAGTGCAGAGGAAGCTTCACTCTGTATCTAACCCCGTAGTGTCCCAGTTCTGGAAGTGCTTGATGGGGGGACAGTGCAGTGGGAGCTTTACTCTGTATCTAACCCCGTGCTGTCCCTGTCCCTGGGAATGTTTGATGGGGGGACAGTGCAGAGGGAGCTTTACTCTGTATCTAACCCTGTACTGCCCCTGCTATGGGAGTGTTTAATGGGGGAACAGTGCAGAGGAAGCTTTACTCTGTATCTAACCCCGTGCTGTCCCTGTCCCTGGGAGTGTTTGATGGGGGAACAGTGCAGAGGGAGCTTTACTCTGTATCTAACCCCGTGCTGCCCCTGCTCTGGGAGTGTTTAATGGGGGGGGGGAGACAGTGCAGAGGGAGCTTTACTCTGTATCTAACCCTGTGCTGTCCTTGTCCTGGGAGTGTTTGATAGAGGGGATAGTGTAGAGTGAGCTTTACTCTGTACCTAACCCCGTGCTGTCCCAGTTCTGGAAGTGTTTGATGGTGGGGGAACAGTCTAGAGAGAGCTTTACTCTGTATCTAATCCGGTGCTGTCCCTGTCCTGGGAGTATTTGATGGGACGAACAGTATAGAGGGAGCTTTACTCTGTATCTAACCCCATGCTGTCCCTGTCCTGGGAGCGTTTGATGGGGGACAGTGTAGCAGGAGCTTTACTCTGTATCTAACCCTGTACTGCCCCTGCTATGGGAGTGTTTAATGGGGGAACAGTGCAGAGTGAGCTTTACTCTGTATCTAACCCTGTGCTGTCCCTGTCCCTGGGAGTGTTTGATGGGGAGACAGTGTAGAGGGAGCTTTACTCTGTATCTAACCCCGTGCCAATAATTCATTTTGTTTGTACAGAGTCTGGGTACCAGGGACAAGATTCTCACCAGGGTGTTGGCAACTCGGTGTGAGATTGATCTCCTTAGCATCCGTGCTGAATTTCGGAAAAAATACGGAAAGTCTTTGTACTCTGCTATTCAGGTAAGGCACTGCCTAATCCTTCCATTACAATGCCCAGCCCTGAGCCCATCGCTGTCATAGAGGTTTACAGCATGGAAACAGGCCGTTTGGCCCAACTTGTCCCTGCTGCCCAGTTTTCGCAATTAGTCTAATCCCATTTGCCTGCGTTTGGTCCATATCCCTCCATACCTATCCCATCCATGTGCTTGTTTTTTAAATGACAAAATTGCACTCATCTCCACTATTACCAGACACACACTGCCATTCCCCGGCTATACCCTTTTGTATTTCTCCCCTCAAACCTATGCCCTCTAGTTTCCCCGACCCTGAGGAAAAGCTGTCGGCTCTCTGCCTTATCTATGCCTCTGCTGATTTTATAAACCTCTACAAGGTCACCCTTCCTACGGTCTAGGGGAACCAAAGTCCCAACCTCTCCTTTTAACTCAAACCTTCCAGTCCAGGTAGCATTCTAGTCAATCTTTTTTTTTCTCTCTAGTTTCCTTTCTATAGCAGGACGACCAGAACTGCACACAGCTCTCCAAATCTAGCCTCACCAAGGTCTTATACAGGTGCAACAAGGACATCCCAGCTCCTGTACTCAATGCTCTGACTAACGAAGGCTAGCATGCCGAAAGCTTTCTCCACTGCCCTATCTGCCTGTGACTCCACTTTCAAGGAACTATGAACCTTTACTCCCTAGATCTCTATGTTCGGAAACCTTCCACTTGTTAGCATGGAAGGTGTTGTGTAGAAGGAATTTTCCTGTTGGCGGTCAATGGCGAGATTGGTACTTGTTAACTCAATCACTAATTGGCCCTTAACCGAGAGTCTCCATCATGGCCATTTCAGGGGGCAGTTAAGAGTCGATCCCATTGCTGTGGGGGTCTGGAGTCACGTCTGTGCCCACACTGGGTCAGGTAGACAGGGCGGTGAAGAAGGCGTTCGGTACGTTGCCTTTACTGGTCAGTATGTTGAGTGAAAGGAGTTGGGATGTTGTAGCTTTACAGGATATTGGTTAGGCCACCTTCGGAATACTGCGTTCAATTCTGGTCTCCCTGCCATAGGAAAGATGTTGCGAAACTTGAAAAGGTGCAGAGAAGATTTACAAGGATGTTGGAAGGTTTGAGCTATAAGGAGAGGCTGAATAGGCTGGGGCTATTTTCCCTGGAGCGTCGGAGGCTGAGGGGGTGACCTTATAGAGGTTTATAAAATCATGAGGGGGCCTGGATAGGGTGAATAGTCAAGGTCTTTTCAGGCAGGGTAGGAGGAGTTGGAAACTAGAGGGTGTAGGTTTAAAGTGAGAGGGGTAAGATTTAAAAGGGACAACGTTTTCACCCAGAGAGTGGCATGGAATGAGCTACCAGAGCAAGTGGTGGAGGCTGGTACAATTACCACATTTAAAAGGCATCTGGATGGGGACATGAATAGGAAGGGTTTAGATGGATTTGGTCCAAATGTTGGCAAATGGGGCTAGATTAATTTTGGATATCTGGTCAGCATGGACGAGTTGGGCCGAAGGGTCTGTTTCTGTGCTGTATAGCTCTGACTCTAAATGGGACTAGATCAGTTTAGGATATCTGATTGGCATGGGTGAGTTGCACTAAAGGGTCTGTTTCTGTGCTGTACAACTCTATGATTACCTTCCCTCATTAGTGTCTCTGATGGGGCCTTTATGACAATCCATGGTGGTGACCAGCCCTGAGACAAGCTTCAAATTCTGGATTTGACTCATTGAATTTAAATTCCACCAGGGGCCGTGGCGAGATTCGAACATTAGCCTCTGTGTTACTAGCCCAGAGACATTTATCACTAAGTCATCGCCTCCCCTTATATGGGCTACATTGGCCAGCATGGAGTGGGGAATATCATGTGCAATTTGGACAGTCTCTCATTGAAGAAATAATACTTGTATTTGCCAAGAAAACCAAAATCTGTGTCCTCCTGTCTTACGTCAAGGAACAGAGTCAGCTGAAGGAAGGTCAGATATAGACACTGATTCAGACCATGTTCAAGTGCAGCAATGAACTGGAGACTATGCAGGTTTGGATTGGCACGTTGCAAGGAACACTGGCACCATACAAATGCCAGGCAATGACCATCTCCAATAGGAGACAATCTAATCATTGCCTCTTGGTATTTGATGGCATTACCATCACTGAATCCCCCCACTATCAACATCCTGGGGGTTACCATTGAGAGAGAATCTAACCATTGCCCCCTGGATATTCAATGTTACTATCACTGAATCCACCCCCCACCCACACCTCCCACCCCACCCACCGCCAATGTCAACATCCTGGGGGTTACCATTGACCAGGAACTGAACTGGACTGAGCCCCATATCAATACAGGGGGCTACAAGAGCAGGTCAGAGGTTGGGAATCCCCTCCTGGCTCCCATGCCCACCACAAAAAAAGCCTATCGACCATCAATGAAGGATACTCCCCACTTGCCCTGATGGGGGCAGCTCCAACAACACTTGAGAAGCATGACACCATCCAGGACACAGCAGCGCCTGCTTGGATTGGCACCACATCCACAAACACCCACTCCCTCCACCACCAACGCTCAGTTGCAGCAGTGTGTACCATCTACAAGATGCACTGCACCGACTTGCCAGGGCTCCTTAGACAGTACTGTCCAGATTGGTGACCTCCACCCCCTATAAGGACAAGGGCAGCTGATACAATGGGAACACCAGCCCCTCTCCAACACACACACACACACACACACACACACACACACACACACACTCTCGCTCACACACGCTCAGAGACACACAGACACCATCCTGACGTGGAAATATATCGGCCGTTCCTTCAGGGTCGAAATCCTGCAACACCCTCCCTAACAGCACTGTGTCCCTACAGCACATGGGGATTCCATCAGGTCACCCCCACTTTCTCGAGGTGGGGGATAATGAGGGACGGCCAATAACTGATTCACTAGCTCAGGAATGAGCTGCTTGTAATTGAATTGAATAGGGTAGCAGGTTTGAAGGGGAGAATGGCCTCCTGCTGGTGTTGGAGGTTTCTCAGTGGATGTGGAGAGGACGTGGAAAGTGCTGCGTGGTGACAATGTTCTCTCTCACCTCCCAGGCCGACACAAAGGGAGATTACCAATGTGCCTTGCTCGGACTGTGCAGAGCGGAGGATCTGTAGAAGCAGCACCTGGAAACTTTTTGGGATAAACCCTTTCGTGATTCCACAGCTGGTCTGTCCCGTCCTACCCCTGAGCTCCACAGAACATTTCTCTGCCTCATGCTGTTACGGACATGTATGTAAACAAGGATAGACACACACACACACACACACACACACACACACACACACACACACACACACACACACAGTCTTATTCAGACAAACAGCCTTACCCAAACACACACAGTCCTTTACATAATCACACACCTAGTCTTTTACATCGTCACACACATGGTCATTTACAGACACACACAGCATTTTACATGCACACGCACACACACACACACACACACGGTCTTTTACACACACTCAATCTTTTACACAAAGGTCTTTTACACACACGTGTGCACACAGTCTCTTATACAGACACACACACACACAGTCTTTAACACACGCACACATCTCTTACACAGACACACATACACACCATCTTTAACACACACGCACG